GATGATAGAATCAGTTATCAAGAAATAAGTATATACGTGTGGCATAACTCGGTGCATAATGACTGCCAGAGTGCCGTGTATTGAAGTACATACTCTCAAAATCCATACAATTTCGTGATCGCAAAAACATAGTAAAATATGAAGGTTCAAAGGAAAGTAAACGGGAATACACCGGAACAACTATCAAGTCAAGACCTCGGCCACTGTTTCAAACCCCCCTCCTCCTGATATCGGCAATGCCTCAATCGCAAATTGCACGTTCTAATAGATGACAGAGAATCTAAAGATACAAATATCCATTCGCTTGCGCCGAGAATTCTACACCGTTTTTATGATATTAATGTAAAGCTATATAACAGCAGGGAACCCTGAACGTAAGCTAATTATTTTACAGACGATGGAAGCTTATCAGAAGAGATACTCGACGCTGTATCTCTGCGTTTAAATGCATACTCTAAGTTAGTCGAAATTCGTAAGCAGATTATAGAAAGCAACGCCTCGTCAATACGGAATTGATAGATATCTTCTTCATTGGATATGAGAGTATTCGATTGCATTCATTTGCGCCGAGAATTCTTCACCGTTTTCATGATGATAGAAACCTAAAGAACAGCATGGCGATCCTGAACGCAAGCTCACTATTTTACAGACAATATAAGCTGATAAGAATGAATACTCGATGCTGTATCTCTGTATTCATCAATCAATGCTCTAAGTTAGTCGATTAATTCGTAAACAGAGTATAGAAAGCAACACCTCGTCAATACTGAATTGATAGATATCTTCTTCTTTGAAGATGGGACTATCCGATTGCATTCACTTGCGCCGTAAATTCTACACCGTTTTCAAAATATTGATAGAAACCTAAAGAACAGCATGGGATCCTGAACGCAAGCTAAATATTTTACAGACGATGAAAGCGTATAAGAAAATAATAATACTCGACGCTGTATCTCTGGGTTTATCGATCAATGCATACTCTAAGCTAGTCGATTAATTCGTAAACAGATAATAGAAAGCAACGCTGCTACCGAGCGCCACGCGGACCACGATATATCAATGAAAGCGCGACAAGATGGAGCGTAGTGCTGCTTGGTCTGCCAGAATATTCTGATACGCACTGAGCTACGCAAGGAAGCACTATAGTAGACGCATGTATGCCCTCATAACAGAGAACTTCAAATTGCAAGTGAATAATTAGTCATGGATCGGACAATTCGTAGGAATTTTGTACAAAAAGTGAATGTTGCTCTCTGGAAGTACAAATAAAACAATTTACACCATATCAAAGTACGTGCTGAGTGCAGAATAAAGAGAGCAGCTGGAAAGACACGACCAAACAAACAACTAGACCTCTTCTCAAGTATGTTCATTTCAAATAGAAATATTCTAGTCTGGAAGAAGCGCACTGAGTCTTTATTTGTAATTCGTATTTCCTAGCTCACTAGACTCAAATTTTCACTTGCATATTTCTCCTACGAGGGATCCGGGTATGTAGATACTGGTCTCCCACTACGATCTCAATGACCCTGATATAAAGAATATACTATTTTGCGTTCAGACTCATTCCTGAGGTAGTTAGAATCCTGTAGAATTGGTATCCAGAATTTGCCTTTTTTAGGGGGGTTTTTTTTTGGTACAATGATACTACATAAGGACATTTTGAAATACAAAGTATGCGAAGAAGAAGAAAAATTCTTAACGGAGCGGTTGCTATTTAACAAACGCGTATTAACGCCAAATTAAAGTCTTACTCAAAATAATATTATCCCACTAGCTGGGTCAAAATAAAACAAATCCA